AAGGACAAAAGGGAAAAGGCACCATGCCACTTTCCCTCTATCTTCTGCTGAGTCAATGTCAATACAAGTTCATGCAGTGTATACTGAGGAACTACTTGAAGAGAGTAAAGAGAAGTTGATAGAGACAACTTTTCTTTTTTCTTCTTTCATAAGGTTGCACGTAATCCTATGTAAGAACAGCCATATGAGGTCAGACCAAAGCTCCATCTCACCCAGTGTCCTATTTTCTGAGAGTGGCCAATGCCAGGTGCCCCAGGGGGAATGAACAGAACAGGTAATACTAAAACTTTGTATGTTAATGGGGTAAATTAAGGCATTGGTGAAACAAGTCGAAGTTAAAGTTGCTTATGTACTTGCTGGTTGAGTTTTTCCTCAACTCAGTTCTGGAAAGGGATGACATACAATCAAGCAACCATAACTCTCCATTAAAGGGTTGGGTTTATTGCCATAGAATTTCCAAGCTGTTCTTTTTTAATAGGAAAGCATACATTGTTGGTAGGAAATAGTAATCATTTAGGCTGTGGTACAGGTAATCTCCCTCATGCAGAAGATTGGACCAGTTTCCTAACCCCTAATCCCCCTCTAAAAAACAAAAACAAGAAAACCCTCACCACACACACCAACAAATCCACAGACCTCCGGCACATCCTTCCAGTAAAAAATTCATCCCCCTTAAGTCTTCATTTCCTCATACACAAATGTTTCTATTGCAGAAAATTGACATAGCTGACACAATGGCATTATCCTTAGGAGACCTTATTGAATTCAACTTAACTGTCTTTGGGGTCTACTGTATTAAATAGGACCTGTTCCAAACCCCTAATAATTTTTGTTGCCCTTTTCTGAACCTTTTCCAATGCTAGTATATCTATTTTGAGATAAGGCGACCATATCCGTACGCAGTATTCAAGATGTGGGCGTACAATGGATTTACATAGAGGCAATAAGATATTTTCTCGTTAAAAAAAGGATAGAGAATGATTCCTAACATTGTTTGCTTTTTTGACTGTCACTGCACACTGAGTATGTTTTCAGAGAAAAGAGTATCATGGGCCAGGGTGGTATGTTTCAGAAGAGAGACCTAGAGTTGCAAAGGAATATATTGAGCATACCAAACAAACAAGTGGCACAAAAGTGTGAAATTTCCTGGGTAATATCTTAGGGAGTGAATACAAGTTCCCCGTCTCACGATATGCAAAAACCCAGAATATCGATGCTACACCTTGAAGGGGAAGACTTTGTCTGTAGACCACCAGCTGAAATAACCCCACATTTAAAGGCGCAAGCTGTGTAAAAGTTAGACTGAAATATTCATGATTCCGAAGAACCTTGCTGTGGGATCTGAAGGACTGACACTTACCAGAGCCTAATATTGGAGTTAGGGTGACCTCCGGTACCCTTTTTTACATGTGTTTAGGTTCTTTTATTGTTTAATAGGTTTTTGCTGTAATGCTTTCACCTGAAGAACACATGGTTGCTTATAAAAGAACTGTGTGGTCATTACGCTGTTAAGGTAACAGCTTTCCTGAACTGAGACCGATATACTACCCCACCTCCTATAACCTGACTCACATGTAGTGCCTGAAGTGTAGGATAATAATGTTGCAGTGGAATAATGTTCCTAGTTGTGTTTTACAATGAAGGGGAGGAAGTGTTCCCTCTAATTTTTTATGTCCATGGGTGGAATACATTTTGTGATGTGCACCAATATTAGGACTGCAAGACCGTAGGTTTAACCTGTTAACTGATTAAGTGGGATCCCACTCCCACCCTCCCCATACCCTGGGCTGCCACTGCTGCCTTCCCCTGCCCCCTCGTGCAGGGGAAGACTTCTGCTGCCAGCCTAACCACTGTAGGGCTGCTCCTGGGTACCTGTTAACTAGTACCCGGTAAGCATCGCTCAGTTATGGTTCACATCCCTAACCAATATAGGAATAATATGCGACAAATCATCTCTATGTAAGTGTACATCACACAAATCATTCTGCACATGGACAATCTGTGGCAGGAGTGGGGCTGAGAGGTCTCAAGGTTGGAGGGGATGAGGACTCTGGCTGGGGCTGCAGCTGGAGAGGAGGTATTTGCAGTGCAGGAGGCAGGGGCCAAGGGGTTTGGGAGGAGGCTCAGGGCAGAAGGTTGGGGTAGGGTGCAGAGTCTGGGCAGGAGTGGGCTTAGGGTTGGGGTGTGGTATCTGGTGTGTGGAGATCAGGTGGTGGAAGGGGCTTTGCATGCCATTTCAAAGTGGCAGCGCCACATGGAGCCCAGGGTCAGCTGGGGGGGGAGGGTCCCCAGCTGACGCAGGGTCCCGCGTGGCATTTCAAAGCTGCAGCGCAGCTTGGAGCCCAGGCTCAGCAGGGGATTGAGTCCCCCACTGACCCCAGGCTCCATCAATGCACTTCTGCTTTGAAATGCACAAGAACCTCCACTGGGGACTCTTGTACATTTCAAAGCTGGCACACCCACATGCAGCCCACAATCACGCCCACATGCAGCCCACGATCCAGTGGGAGAGGAGTGCTGTGAAGAGAACACTCCTGCGGTTCTCATCCCTCCAGAACACTATGTTGCAAAAACACAGAGGAGACCTGATAAGGCCCAGAGAACTGCGGATCAATGACGGTGTCAGGGATGGAACTCTAGTGGCAGGGCAGGAATGATAGTCTCTGCTGTAAACCCCCAGTGCCACCGGTCCTCGGTCAGGTGCCACCTGTGCTGAGGGAGGTTTGTGAATTGTCTCTTCCACTGGTGATGATAGAATGGAAGGTGGTGACATCGAGCCCGATGCCGAGCTCGCGGTGCCACACAAGATGTTTTCTAGGATGCTGGCTTAGTGGTTGATGCTGAGGTTTTTGTTGGGGCTGAGTCACCGCGAGTTGCCAAGGTCGGCGCTGAGGCTTCTTTGAGAGGCCTAAATGGTGCCGAAGAGGCCTGGACTAGTGCCAAAGGTGGTTCCGGTGGCGTCGAGCCCACACTGGAGGAGGGTCTCGGTTCGAACTAGGGTGGTAGTGTAGACATACCCTAAGAGCTTAATTTTCTTCAACTGTTCTCAATTTGAGTCCCCCATAGGGATGTTAAATTTTGATTAGATGATAGGGCACCTCCACCTTTGAAGTGTTGCAACGGCCCTAGGATTGTGGCTACACTTCAAAGGTGAAAGCGCTGCAGGGAACATGGGGTTTGCAGGGGACTCAAGCAGTCCCCCACTGGCTCCGTGCTCCCTTCGGTGTTTCGCATGGAGGTCAGCTGGGGACTCCCCTACGAACCGCGGCTCCATGCGGCGCTGCTGCTTTGAAATACTGCGGGGAGCCCAGCATCAGGCTCCATGCGGCGGTTCAAAGCGGCAGCATTGCACAGAGCCTAGAGTCAGCAGGGGAATCCGCAGCTGATCCCGGGCTCCATGCGGCGCTGCCACTTTGAAAGGATACATGCAGCCCGGGGACATTCCATCTGGTCACAAGCTTCATGCGGTGTTTAAAAGCAGCAGCACCGCATGAAGCCCAGGGTCTGGCCCCAAGCTCCATGCAGCACTGCTGCTTTGAAGTGCCTCCTCTCCCTGCCTCCCTCCCCCACTTGCTGCCTCTTTCTGATAGAGGCAGCAAGGCGGTGGTGGTGGGGGGGGGGGAGAAATGACTAGTCGACTAACCAATAAGTATTTGCTTATCAGCTAGTCATTCATATCCCTAGTTCCCCAAAGAATTAGTGTGTTTCATGCACCAAGATCTTTTGGACTTGCATCGGATCAGAAATTTGATCTCTAACTCTGGGCAAAAAGCTACCTAGAAACATTCTTAAATGGTTATTCCCTCCCCACCTGCCGTGCTTATATTACTGGAACCCAACTCAAACTATTCCAGATGTGGGTCATTAGTCCTACTCCATAAACTCCTGAGGTATACCAAGTTCAAAGAAATTGAAGCACACTGGCTTTAGACAACTTAAGTCTATCTTTAAACTGATGTCAAGTATCAGAGGGGTAACTGTGTTAGTTTGAATCTGCAAAAGCGGCGAGGAGTCCTGTGGCACCTTATAGACTAACTGAAGTGTTGGAGCATAAGCTTTCGTGGGCAAAGACCCACTTCTTCAGATGCATGTAGTGGAAGTTAGTCTACAAGGTGCCACAGGACTCCTCGCCGCTTAAACTGATGCCGTGAATCAATTTTAACTTAGTGGTGCTTCCACAGTGTTGAACTATCCCATTTACAGAGACTCCCAAATGATTTAACTTTTTATGCTTAAAAATGCGTATTTGTTAAAAAACAGTCAATTTACTTTATGCACACATACTTCGGTGATACTTTTCACCACCGATTGCTCAAGGGCATCAACAGAATCCAGAATGTTTTTTGGAAAAGACAGGAAGTACCACAATAATCTGCCTTGTTGAAGAACAAAAAAAAAAAAAAAAAAATGTATTCACCAATTCAGGCAATTTTAAAGTAACATTTAACAACGAGGTACTTGCTAAGCAAGTGGGGGAAGCATACACGGGCACGAAGTCATGTTAAGCGTTAATGTTTTTGTCAAATGCAGTAACTTACTTTTACCTCACTTGTTTGCATTCAGACATGATTTATCAGTATTGCATATTTTATGCTTTTTGGTGTGGGCATGTGTTTGTTTGTGTTTGTTTGTTTTCTCCAGCAAGTTCCTTAAAGCATCGCGGAAGCTTCAAGCTATGTTTCAAATGTATAGACAATCTATCCCCGAGGAACTTTCTTTGAAGGAGTCATGGGAGGAAAAATGAACAATGAAACTCTTATTTTTTTAAAATAATGTGTTGCACAAACTATACCCCAAAATGTTGCAAACTAGACAATATAGACCAAGTTAAAATAAACTTAAAAGCAAATAAACTGAAAACAGTAAAAACAGTACTTCTGTCCTCTTACCCAAGCTAATAAAACAAGATTACCAGTCAGCCATTTTGAAGCTTAACTACCTTAAAAATTAAATTCTCCCAAGCTCATTAAGTCTCAGATATCAGCACTAAACTTGCTTACCTGAAAGACAGCATGAGACCGAGAAGAGGAGGCATTCACATCAGTGGGGTGCTGTGTTCTATTTTTGTTTCCATAATCCAGCATCTGAAGGATCTCCTCTGCACATTTAGGCTACAAATTAATAATTTTTATAAGATTTAATTAGAGAACAGACTGTACATACAGTTGGTAAATAATTAATGTGCTTAAAATTCACCCTAACAGGAATTACTTGAAGTAGGCATGCCTGCATGCACACACACAGGAATTTTCTTTTTGAAACCAAGTCACTTATAAGAAAGCTTTTTCTTAAGGAAAAGAAAACCTTTGAATTTCTGAAACATAAGTACTGTATATCTATTTTAATAAAAACAGAGTAAGTTTACAGATGCAGACAAACTTCTCCAGTCTTGTCATTAGGGGAATTTGTCCACTCTTCCATTACTGCACAGCCAAGGCTTCCTCAGCAGAAGAGCTTGGGCTGAAGGCAGAGTTGGGAGGTGGAACTTGTAGTACTCTCCCATACCCTGTGAAGGCTGGCCCAGTCCTGACTGCACATCCCACTCCCAAAGTTCCTTTGTGTCCCCAAAGGGGACGTGTCCCACAGTTTGAGATAGACAGATCTCATTACAAACACAGAAATACATTAAGGAAAGTTACAGCTACAAAGACAATTTCTCAAAAAATTAGAACGTGCCAATTTTAAGGGTTCCCATGTGACCTAATTTCAGTCCTTTCTGCATATGTATTATGATAAGGTCTTTAATTATAGGCTCACATACTATTTTTTTCAAGAGGATCTTGCTTCATTCATGGCAGCAAGAAATGAATCTAGGCATTTGAATGAATCAAATGAATGAGCCTGTTGGCTCTAGTATCCCCCCTCATCTGCTGCAGAAACTGGGGGGGCGGGAGGGGGAGAGAGGGGGAAGGGTTAGAGAATCAGGGAGGAAACTACAGGAAGAAAAAGGACATGCCTATGGTTTCAATGCCACCCTGAAAACTTTGTTCAAACCCTGCATCTGCCATAGAGCTCCTATGGGATACTTGGCAAGTCACTTAAATCAAACTTTTCACAAATTCAGTGTTCCCCATTTTCTAGGTTTTCCGACTTGAGATATTGGGGGAGATTTAGAGACATGTTAAGCAATCACAGATGCAACTGAAACCAGTGACAGCTATGCTCTGAACAAATGCACTATAAGCTCTCCGAATGGGAGGGTGGGGAAATCAGACAGAATCTTAAATTGGCCACCCAAAGTGAGCCATATATGTTTGATGCTGAAGTATCCATACATTGGTTCCCTATACATAAAAAGAGACTATGCCATTTTAATTTATCTTTATTATTCCCCTGAGGTCTAAGAAACACTCAGATACTTTCCTGAATGAATGTGATAGGAAAGCCCTTGAAGAAATTAATTCTGCATTCAAAGCATGGTTTGAATAGCACACAGACGAACAAGGCCCAAGGCCATACACTTAAGAACGAGGCACATAAAAATATTGATTAACTACTCACTCAATCCATTCACTTAAAAGAACTAGGCAGGGGTCCTGTGGAAAAGTATGGGATCATGTAAAGACAATCATAAAGCATATACACAACAGGCATGCACTAAGCTTACAAGGGAAATCTCACTAGCATTCGTTTTTGTACATAATTTCTTAAACAGAAATTCCATTAACCATCTTGACTCCCACATAGGTAATTCTCACCTGAGAATGGTTAGACCTGCAGCTCAGACCTCTGCCACTTAAGACAGCAGAGTTAATTATAGCAATTAGGGATGTAATAGTGTAGCTGATTAACCAATAAGCAAAAGCTTATTGGTTAATGCTATGAACTACACACATTCCCCCTAACCAGTACATTTTCTAGCAGGTTGGCCAGCCGTCCAGGTGAACTACACACATTCCCCCCAAACCAGTACATTTTCTAGTAGGTTGGCCAGCCGTCCAGGTCAGTTCTGGCTCATGCTGGGTCCAGAACCTACCCCTGCTGTGGCTCTGCTGTATATTATGAGCCAGGCAGGCAGGCAGGCAGTTCGTGCTGGTTCTGGGAGCTCAAACCCACCCTCCCAGATATGGGTTGCTGCCACCTCTCACTGTTACCTCTATCAGACACAGTAGCACAGGGCAACAAGCAGCTGGTCCACAAGAGGAGCTGGTTTTTAAACTGGCACCACTTGCGGACTAGCTCCCGCCTGGCACCCTGTGCTGCTGCCAGTCCCACCCACAGAGACTTCAGAATAGTCCACTAACTGATAAGAATTAATGAGGTTACTTGACTATTAAATTAAATGATATTTAATATTCCTAATAGCAATACCACAGAACAGAGGTCTCCCACCATTTTAACCACAAGATCACTTTTTCAATTTAAGAGGAATGCAAGATCTACCTCAAACCCAAATACCCTTCCCCCACTTCCTTCTTGCTCCTTTTTTGAGGCTCTGGCTGGGAACCACTTAACTGAGATGGCTTATGGGCGGTGGAGCAGTGGAATTAAGGCAGGCTTACTCCTGCTCTGGCCCCACACCACCCCTGAAAACAGCTGGCATGGACAGCAATGGCTCCATGGCACCACGTGCTGGACTTCATCTATAGACACTGAGCCCACAGCTTCTACGGCACACGGTTTCCTGTTATTGATCAGTGTGAAGACCACTGCTCTGCCTTTCTCGGGGGGTGCAGGGACATGACAGCCACTTCCAGGAGCAGCAATTACCATAGGGATAAGCACTCCAGTCACGACAGGTTGGGCATTTTAGAACTCACTGCTTAAAGAATTAAATGTAAGCGTAAGACAAAGGAAAATGACGAAATGCACAGACCAGTCAAAAACCTAAAACAACCCACTTTGCAAGCAGTAACAGAAGTAACAACAACCCCCCAATGTATGTGCTGGGTCGGGAGATGAGGGGAAAGGACAGTGAGAATGACAGAAACACACCCAGTGTGAATGAGAAAATTGCATTGCCAAACTCCCATCATCCCCTTCTCACTGTGTGGAGATAAGGTACAGAAGTGGGGGGAGGAGGGCTACCGTGACATCAGCGGCCCCCCTTCTCCCTCCCACACCGTGCACAGCTAACAGGAGGCTCCCAGGGGTGCAGCTCCAAGGCAGAAGGGAGGAGTAGCATGACAGTTGGTAGGGGGGGAGGGGGGGCAACTGAAGTGCCAGTGCTTGATAGCTTCCTGGCCAAACCAGTCAGGATCACCTGTCAGAGGCTCCAAGATCTACTGGTAAATCCTAATCTACTGGTTGATAACCACTGCTATAGAACCTTAGTTGCAAAAACCAGAGTTATGAACTTAACTGTCAACCACATGCCTCATTTGGAATTATAGGCAGTTCCCGGGTTATGTTGATCGGACTTATGTCGGATCCCTACTTACGAACGGGGTGAGGGAACCCCGCACTAGCTGCGCCCCCCCCCCCCGGGCAACCCCCCGAGATGGGCGCGAGAGA